TGAAAACAGGGAGGGAATAGGAAACGGAAAACTGGATATAACCACTAATATTAAAAGTTACATTGAATATAAACTATGACTCCTTATTCGTATCTACAGGACTCAAGATTTCCTATAATTCTTAGGGAAAGTAAACTAATATATTGTTTACTTTTTTAATGTATTAAAAAATTAGCTGTAACTTAATATATTAGCTTACCTAAGACTTTTCAGAAGCTACTGCTGAAAGGAACAAACTCATTTTTTTAAAAACAGAAGAGAAAATCGATTATTATATTAGAACACTAATGGAGACATAACTTAATAGAGCAATTGTATAGATCTGGCTTTTTCTTCTTCCTTTAAGACAAAGACCAATATAAAATATTAACTATCAATATTAAGAGTGGTTACAGGTTCTTAATAGACTATTTAGGTAACTACCTCCAACACTGTTAGAAAGAGGAAGGATATGAAAACTGCTGTGTAGCTACACAACCTAACACAAACACAAGTTTCCATGAGAGTTCACATATGCTTACAAAATATAATGAAAAGATTTTTAAAAACATGCATTCAAAAACATGCAAAAACCTGTAGTAAAGCAGAAAGAACAGTACATTTTTGAAACTTCTTGTGTAATCTTTGCATGTGAACTAAATTTGAATGTTCATTCCATAAACATTACGTTGTTATAATTTTCTTATTTGTCTTCCCCATCGGACTAGGAATTTCAAAGAGCAAATGTTTGTTTTTTGATTCAAGCATCCAATATATAGTAGGTGCTCAGCAGCAATAACGATTATCATGAAAGATAGCATTTATTTTACCCTCACAATAACCCATTGAGGTAGGGACAACTACTGGATCAATTTTACAGCTCAGGATACTGGGATAGGAAGTTTAATGATTTGACCAGGGTAACAAAGCTAGTAAAGTACAGAATCTGGACTCAAAACTAGCACTGTGTTCAAACCTCATGCTCTTGAGTACTGTAACACTTTGTTATTGAAATAACACTTTGTTATTGAAAAACAAAGTTGCTATAAGGTACCATATAGCAAACAATCTCATTTAGACCCAGTAAAGGAATAAATACATTAGTTTTGTAAGGTTAAATAATAATTATGGTGTTAATATCCTACCTATGAAGCCTTTGTCATTATCTACTATAAGTTCCAAGTAATAGAAAAATTCACAGTGACAAGTTAGCGAGAAAAACAACATTGCTTAATACAGCAAACAGAAAGATCCTGAGACAACATAACTGGAATATTCCAAACACTAATTCATCAGCTCTTCAGAAAATGAAAAACAATTTTAAGAGTCCATTGAGAAATATTTTGGACCTGAGACGTGACTTGATTCTTTATTCCTTTATACAATGACTATCCAAAGAAAAGTATTAAAAATTAAAAATCCAAATCTTCAAGTAAGTTAGAGAGTTGTTACACAACAAAAGTCACTATCCTAAAGGAAAGCTGAAGTGATCCCTTTTTCCTAAAATGGTATCACATATGAAAAAAGTAATGCAAATTTATGTTCAAGGGAACTTGAAAGTAGAATCTTTTTATGAGCCAAAGCTTTTAAGAAATTAATTTTATACAGAAGCACTTTCCCTGCCTTAATCATAATATACAAACAAAACTCTTGGTCAAAGAACAGTAATTCATAAGATGGTTTCTCATCTCAGATCTGCCATTTGTAAACAGCAAATTCAGTTTCATTAACTATATAATATATATTAACAGTACCATCTACATCTACCTCACAGGATAGTTGGGAGAATGTATGTGAAAAGTGCTTTATAAACAGTAAAGGACTATTAAATACAAAGCACTGTGGCTGTATTGTTGTTTTAGATTTACTCTGCCTATTCTGTTACTATACTCTGAAAACCTCACCACCTCCTTTATACTTTATTCTTTTAATCTAGTAAGAACACGAATTCTATCTAAAATGAGATATATTATTGCATGTGCCCACAAGTTTCGAGCAAAGACTAGGCTTTCTATCATTTTGACTCTAGTCTTTTTTTAGCTTGTTTTTTCTTTTTATTTTCTGATATGTTCTGGATAGTTCAGCTTGCAGGAATAATCAATCACCAGATAAGTATCACTACAGTAAGTTTCTAAGGTATACTTCAAGTATATCTTAAACATACAAAAATGTTAGAAAAATACTGAGAAAAAAAAACAGGCTAAATTACTGATACTCGACTGCTCTAAAATTACATTATATTCTGTCAACTATATAATACATACTTCTTCCGAAATGTGAGGTATGATTTGTATCTGTTTCAAGGGAAATACAATGAAATCTCAAAAGAAAATATTTCCATTGAGATTTACTTTCAGAATTTAAAGAAATTCTGAAGGAAATTTACTTCAGAATTTAAAGAAATTCTGAAAGAAATTTACTTCAGAATTTAAAGAAATTCTGAAGCATTATGAAAGTAGAGTTTGTAATGACCTAGAATGCAAGGCGCCAGATCTATTGAGCTGAAAGGTGAACTCATCAATTCAGCTTAGCAGATGCTTTTAGGCCAGCTTATAGACCAAAGCTTTGCTTGCACATGGAGGGAATGTATTTCTAACTAATAATCATCTTAGGGAAAAATAAATGGTTGTATTTACCTGCACTTACAAATATTAAAAATTCAGATTATAAACCCAAAGGTCTTTATGTTAAAAGTTGCTACAAGAAACCAATATTTAATCACACGTAGTTACTTTCCAACAAGCAAAAACAGTCTAATGTCACTACATTTTGCCCTTTTTTACCTACATCCTGGCTTACTTCACTGAGTTTCACTTAAAAAAGAGATAGTGTCTACCTAATATGGTTGTTTGGACGACTAAAATAAAAAAATATAACTTACCTAACCCCACAGTAGCTATCATTACTATTCTACAGACAAATACATCAAAGGAAATTTCAGTCTTCAAAGCTTCAAACTTTAAAGTCACTGCTTAAAAGTAACTGATCTGCCAACGCTGGAGTTTACCAGGATGTAGCACTCTTTAATTAATAATGTTTTATGTGTAAATGACTGCCAGAAAATAAATCATCTTAATAAATTTTAGAGCCTTATATAATAAAATACAAATAAATTGATAAACTAAACAAGTACTGAATTTCAATTTGGAAGATGCATTTCCTTTAAAGGAAATATATTTTTTAAATGACATAAAAATCACTTCGCGTTCACTATTTCCTGTATACTCGGCTAACAAATACTCCCTTAAATTTCAAAATGTGTTGTCTAACAGTTTCTTTTCCAAAACATACGGGTCCTTTTAAGCTGCTTAAAAACTCTTCTAGGCAGTAAGAACTGAAACTAACGCGTGAAAACCCAAGTGTCAGGAACTGCTCTGAGCCCTAGGCACTGCTCATGTTTTATTCATCTCTGTATGGGTGGCTGGCTAGTTTAGCAAAGAATTTAGCAAATAAATCAACAAATACTGGTGAATAAATTAGTCATCAAAACGAGGCAGATGGTTTGGCTAATTCAAATGAATGTTCTTACATTATTGCTCAGATTTAGAACAAATCCCAAATATCCCAGCCTCGAAAATTACTGGGTTTTTTTGTTGTTTGCAAGGGAAAAGGAGAAAATGAGATCTATTTTCGTATCTAGTTCCTGAAACTAAAGCTAAAAACAAATTAGTATTCAAAAAAAAAAAAATCACGTAGTGGAAATCATAACTTCCAACTTATCAGAAAACTCCTAGAGTCTCAGGGATTTTTCTCCTCCCAATTTTTTCTCTATCTATCAATACGGTGTCCCATGAAAAGGAAAGAGTCACAAACCACTGCTCCTTCTAGTATCAGGTATTAATTTCACTAAGACGACTTTAATAATTCAGAAATATCGACTCAAACAAAACAATGTGTGTGGTGCTACCTAAGAACCGACCTAGCGATGCGTGGTCGTGGTCATTGCTTTGGGAATAGAGTACGCTCGCCAATCGGAGGGTTTGGGAAGACAAAACGCAGTGTGAGGCATCAATGAAAGCACATCGCAGGGGGAGGGGAGAGGAAGGAAAAGATCAGAGAGGATTAATGACTGCATTACTGGTGGGACGGGAGGAGGCAGTCGAGGACCCCGTGCAAGGGGAGTGGAGAGGTTCATTTTGCAGTGACCGTGGACTGGGGAGTGGGAGGAGGGGCAACTATCAACAGGAATCTCCCCCCTGTGGATGGGTGCGTCACTTACGCAGCCGCTTCTGGAAAGAGAAAATGTGCCCTCAGGTCAATCTCAAAGAGCAACTGCGACGGGAAGGGGGAGTGACCTTCCTAGGTGTGAGAAATACAGGGTCACTTCCCAACGGACTTAGATGTTGCCCTAGGTCCTCCTCGGTCATCGTGGGACAGAGGCGATTGTGGTGAGGACCCCCACAGCCGCGTGAGGGACATAAGAGACCCAGAGCTGAGGTGTGGGCGTTACCTGCAGGGTCACCTCCTGGGGGTCCCAGTGAGGCCGCAGGTGTTGCAGGAGGCTCAGGGCTCCCTCCCGGCAGCGCTGCTCCTCCTGATCCTGAACGGTGACGTTCAGCTTGGGCACCTCCGGGGAGCCGGGAGGGACGTGGATGTAATTGGCCATGGCCCAGGCGACGGCGGAGACTACCACCACGACGACGGCGACGGCGACCACGAGAACGGCGGGCGCCGACAGACTGGTGGATCCTTCCGTCCCGGGGCGCCCTCGCGGGAGGGCTGGGGGCGCTCGGACGGGCGGGCGAGCGGCAAGAGAACGTCTGGAGGCGGCACTGTCGCCGATCCGGGTCTGGACAGCAGCTGAACTGAGCCCGGGCCGCTCTCGGGAAAAATTCCTGTTGTCGGCGCTGGACCGCGGGCGGCCGCAGAGCATGCCGGGGCTGGCCTGACGCTGGCGTCACGCGCGGGGCGGGGCCTGCGCTGCGTCAGGGGGCGGAGGCGGGGTTTCTCGCCTTCCGTCACAATGGAACCGCTGTACCGCGATGGACTTGTCGGCCTGCGATTAGCACACACCCATCCCTGGGAACTGCTGGTCTGGAAAGCGGGGCTGCTTCTCCGGGATGAGCCCGAGCCCTGCCAAGCCCCTCAAGGCATTGAAGCTTTAGCTCACCTGATCCGAAAGATCGTGGGCATCCGGGCTGAGTTAAAGACTGAATTTTTGTGGGAAGCAAGGGACACGTTCTAAAATAACCCTAGGATCACTCTCCGAACTTGTGCTGAGTCTAGGCAAGCAGTGTTACTCAGTCGCCTTGATCTTGGAGCTGCTGTGTACTGGGGACCTCATACTAGCCTGGTTAACTGTATTCCCATTAGAGTACACGGGATCGCAGTACTCGGGACAAGCTGAGTTCGGGTATTTGGGTAAGACAACTGCAACACTTAAGTTATTTGTGGAGTAAGATGTTCGACCATACAGAGAATAATTCGAAGCTGGGGAGAACAGGTTAGAGTCTGGTATATAGAAGAAAGGGAAGGAAAGGAATAGTTTTGAAGCTCAACACTAGAACGACCCGATGTCCGTGCCAGGGTGCCCCGAGTGGGCCATGAAATCTTGCGTCTCAGTGCCTTACAGGGAATGGTAGAAACTGGATAAGCTACAAGTAAAGTATTGGGGCCTCCTAATTTTCCTTTTTGATGGAGGAAAACGGTCTGGGATTCCCTGCAGCACTTAGTACTTGTTGAATACGTTTGTTAGTAGTAAATAAAACCCTTAACTGGACTGAGTTTCATTAACATTCAAAATGTTTAATTACTTCACCAGCATTAAGTTTACATCCTGATTGTTAAAGAAAGAACCTACTTACCTTTGTAATTCACAAAATAATTACTTCACCTATAACGGTAAACTTCCTAAACTAAAAAGAGGGGTGGAAATGGAGCTTTATAAAACAGCAAAGAAGTTGATTTAACATTTTTCAAATTTAGTGGGTTTTTTTGCTTGCTTTTTGTTTTTATTTGTTTTGAGACGGAGCCTCACTCTGCACCCAGGCTGGAGTGCAATGGTGCGATCTCGGCCCACTGCAACCTGCGCCTCCCGGGTGTAAGCGATTCTTCCGCCTCAGCCTCACGAGTAGCTGGGATTACAGGTGCGTGCCACCACGCCCAACAAATTTTTGTATTTTTAGTAGAGACGGGTTTCACCACGTTGGCCAGGCTGGTCTCGAACTCCTGACCTCAGGTGATCCACCCACCTCGGCCTACCAAAGCGCTGGGGATTATAGGCAGGGCGCGATGCCTCGCTGGCATGAGCCACCGCGCCCTGCCATATTTAGGCATAATTTTCTGCTACAAACATTAGAGTGTGTGTTCCTTCCACTTGGGGGAGAAATCGTAAATATACTAATACTTTCACATTTCAGATAGTATCCCTTGCATTTTTGTATAAAATGTAGTTTTATTAAGCAGTTGACATTTTAAGAATTTTAAAACTTTAAGAATTGTAAAATAATTTAATTTAAAATTATGTTGCAAACTGCACTAGTTTGTAATGGTAAATAAGAGTCCATTAACAAGTAGAAGAAAAAGAAAAACAACTGTTAGGTACCTGAGAAAAAAAGTAACAAAAATGTACAGGATCCATGGATAAGATTAATGGAGAAATGAACCATATTCATAAATGAGAAAAGATTAATATAAAGGACTCAATTTTCCCTGAACTAATCAGTACATATAATGCAGTTCCAGTTAAAATCTCAAAAGGGTTTTTTTACTGAACTTGTTAAAATGACATTGAAATTCATATCAAAAGTTAAGGTCCAAGAAAAGTGCTGTAATTGGGGAGAGAGGAATGGGGACAGGTAAGATGAGGGAATATATTGGGAGGACCAATCCTACCAGGATGTATTATATATTGGTTTAGGTATGGGCACATAAGCTACTAGAACATAATGAAGTCCCAGAACAAAACCCATACACATATGAGAACTTTGTATATAACAAAAGTACCATTACAAATTAATGAGAAAGTCCAGACTGATCAATGAACAGAAGTGGTACAGTTGCTTTTTGTATGAGAAAAAAATTTTGATCCCTCCCTCTTATTAGGCATAAAAATTAATTTGGGGAAGATTAAAAACCTAAATGTTAAAAGCAAAACTTTAAAAATGTGCAAGAAATATCAATTCTTATCAACCTAATCTACGGATTTAATTCTAATCACCCCAGGTTATGTCGTAGATATCAGCAAACCAGTTCTAATGTTTACATGCAAAGTCACAAGAGCCAGAGTAGCCAACACAATATTAAAGAAAAACAAAGTCAGAAAACAGACTTGAAGACAGTATAGCTGGGTGCAGTGGCTCATGCCTGTAATCCCAGCACTTTGGGAAGCTGAGGCGGGAGGTTCACTTGAGCCCAGGAGTTCAAGGCCAGCCTGGGCAACACAGTGAGACCTCATCTCTCCAAAAAAAACTTAATTAGCCAGGTGTGGTGGTGCACACCTGTAGTCACAGCTACTCAGAGGCTGAGACAGGAGGATTGCCTGAGCCCAAGAGATTGAGGCTGCAGTGAGCCATGATCAAGTTACTGCACCCAAGCCTGGGCAACAGAACAAGACCTTGTCTAAAAAAAGAAAAAAATAATAGTATACATTCCAGTAATCAAGACAGTGTAGTATTGAGGCCAAGCTGAGTGGATCACTTGGGGTCAGTAGTTTGAGACCAGCCTGGCCAACATGGTGAAACACTGTCTCTACTAAAAATATAAAACTTAGCTGGGCGTGGTGGCAGGCACCTGTAATCTCAGCTACTTGGGAGGCTGAGGCCGGAGAATCACTTGAACCTGGGAGGTGGAGGTTGCAATGAACCAAGATCACACCACTGCACTTCAGCCTAGGTAATAGAGTGAGACTCTGTCTCAAAAAAAAAGAAAAGAAAAGAAAAGAAAAGAAAAAAAGACATGTAGTACAGTGTAGTATTCTCAAAAGAATAGATAAATAGATCTATGGAACAAAATAGAGTCCAGAAATAGATCCACACAAATACTGTCAACTAATATTTAACAAAGGAAAAAGGCAATTCAAATTTTGAATAAATGGTGCCAGAACAACTGGATATACACTTGCAAAAAAAAAAAAAAAAAGAATCCAGACACAGACCTTACACCTTTCACAAAAAGTAATTTAAAATGGATCGTAGACATAAATATAAAACACAAAACTATACAACTCTTAGAAAGCAACGTAACAGAACATCTAGGTGACTCTGGGTTTGGCAGTTACTCTTTAGATGCAACATCAAAAGCGCAACCCATGAAAGAAAACTGGTACCTTGTACTTCATTAAAATTAAAAACTTTTGCTCTGCAAAAGATAGTTAAGAGAATGAAAAGACAAGCCACAGACTGGAAAAAAAAATGTTTGCAAAACATATTCAATAGAAGACTTCTATTCAAACTATACAAAGTACTCTTTAAACTTAACAATAGAAAAACCCAATTTTAAAATGGGCAAAAGATCAGAACAGATATCTCACCAAGAAGATATACAGATGGCACAAAAGCATATGAAAACATATTCAATATCTAAACAATGAGATACTATTACATATCTATGGGAATAGCTGAAATCCAAAACACAACCAACCAAATGCTATGAAGATGTGAAGAGGAACTATCATCGCTGGTAGGATGCAAAATGGTACGGTCACTTTGGAAGACAGTCTGGCAGATTCTTACGGAGTTAAACATAGTCTTACCATACAATCTAGCAGTCATGTTCCTTGGTACCTACCCAGATGACCTGAAAACTTATGTCCACACAGAAACTTGCACACTAATGTTTCTAGCACCTTTATTCATAACTGTCAAAAATTGGAGCAACCAAGAAAATAGATGAATGTACAATAAAAACTGCTACATCCATAAAATGGAACATTATTGAATGATGAAAAGAAATGTAGGATCAAGTCACAAGAAGGGAAGAATGGAGCATAGGAGATTTTTAGGGCAATGAAACTATTCTATATGATATTATAATGGTGGATGCATGACATTATAAATTAGTCAAAACTCACGGAACTATGCAATACAAAGAGTGAACCTGAATATAAATTGTGGACTTTAGTTCATATTTGTATTTTTGTCAGTCAACATACTCCCTTGCTGTAGTAGTTAATAAATGTAAATGAATAAAACAGTCAGAAAATATAGAATCAGATCTCTATGATTGTAAGTTAGAGAAGGATTCCTAAACAGACTCATAAAGCACGTACTATGAGGAAAAAGGATTGATAAATTTGAAAACATTAAAATTTGAAACCTCATGACTGAAAATACCATGAAGATAAATGACAAGCCATAAAAAGATAAGATATTTGCAATGTGTGTGATCAAAAAGGTATTTATATTCAGGATACTACTAATAAATAAGGAAGTTAATCACCCAGTAGAATAACTGGCAAACAAATAGCAGTTTGAAGAAAAGGAAATCCAAATAGCCAATAAGCTTTTGAAACGGTACCTCCCTAATTGTAATGTCTAATAATTAAGATAATGTAAATTAGAATAATAATGAGATACCATTTCACACCCATTAGATTGGAAAAATTTTGAAGTCTGATAATGCCAAGTATACATTTCTTGTGGAGAAGTATATTTATTTGTAAAAACTTTGGAAAACAATTTTGCAAATTTTTATAAAGTTAATGGTAGACATTCTTTACCATCCAGCGGTTTCAATTCCAGGTAGATGCGAAAATCCCATACCATGTACATGATAAAGTGTGTACAAGAATGTTCACTGCTGTCTTGCTCCTTGTATTGCTAAAAACTGGCAGCAGTCTAACTGTCCCACAATATGAAAATGATTAGGTGGATGGATAGTTAGATCAACAGATCATTAGATGCTAGAGAGACAGGAATATATTATGACAGAATAAAGATGGCAAATGGAACATATGCATCTACTTATGCACATATTCAGGAGGCAACAGCGGTCCTAGAAGTCGAAATTCAAGCAATAGTTCTGGAAACCCAACAGCCCTTCTGGTTAGTTGAGTTCTCTGTCTCTTCTCTCCACCTGTTTTTACCTATCTTCTGTTTCTAATTGTCTGGTTTTGCTTCCTCATGATTTCTGTGTACTGGCTTCTTTTCATGTGGCTTCCTATCATTTAGATCTTACTCAAAAGTTGTTCTCTGGAGGGGCATTTCCATCCATCACTTCCCTTATCACAACGACCTGTTTTATTTTTTATATATCATAAAACAATGGGAGTTACCTTGGAATCAATATATTCACTTTTTTTTTCCCAGCAAAGCAGCAAAAGTTCATTAAGCATAGTAACACTCCCAGAGAGGGGAGAGTGCGCTGACCTCTGTGAAATGAGATCAGCTAAAATCAGTGTATGTTTTATTTACC